CCAGACATCAAAACCAACAGTTAACTATAAAAGAAAATAAAGCTGAGCTCCCTCCCTTTTAAGTTCAGTGTGGTAAAGAGTTGCTAACGGCCTTATTAATTACAACCAATAATCGCACCCTTATAAACACAACCCAGAGGAAGAAAAGTGACTTTGTATTCCAGTGAAAAAAATGCTGTGTTGAATCACAAGACTTTTCCACTTTTAAGTTGGTGCTCTCCTTACAAAGACACAAGCTCAGCACATAGCCAGCCGTCCAACATAAAGAAGCTCTTTATATGAAGAGGCATTAGTCTTAGATATCATGGCATTTCACAACACAGCATAGGCCTGAGAGTATATTTACAGTCAGGCTCCGATGTGTAAAGGAAATCCAACATCTATATAGACTTCTGCCCTGAAGTGAATATTTCATCCACTGCATCATCCTTGGTTTTAAGAACTCGACAGAATTTGCACATTTTTGACCTAGATGCTATTTTCTAGCTTTAGTTCAAAGTGAACCCAAGTCAAAATATTAAATGATAGTATGTCCTTTGCAACTTTTTCTCTTTTTACAGCAACAGCTGTTGCTTCTGGTTTCTCCATCTGTTCTAGCTTTTCTGGCATACTTGAACACAAGAGCTACACCATCCACAGAAAGACTGACCACAGCTGTGTGAGTTAAACTGCAGATATGTGGCATTGGTGCTATGCAATCCTGCAATCCTACAAAGAACTGGAGGACTTACAGTCTATTTACTACAGCCACAAACATTTGTCTATCAGACTTCTTCAAATTCTTTATACCCAGGTGACTTACCCCCAACGACTGCTCCAGAGCAGTGTGTCGGTCCTCCTTCTCCACCGTGCGCCTGCAGTCAGAGCACACCCACAAAGGCAGCTGGAGGGCACTGGGTGTTTTGTTGGGCTGTGACGTACCGTTATGGCCCGTGATCCCTGCCTCTGAAGGCACGGCACCATCTTTACGCTCACACCGGCATAAGAGGCAGCGATCACCGGCTGTGTAGGGAGCCCGCTGGTTCAGGCCGAACGTAAATGGGGTCTGTGTTGAGTATTTTAATGGGAGGAAGTAAAGAGAGAAAAATATACCTTAAGGTATGCAACCACTTCAGCATTTGCATTAGTTTACTGTAATTACCATATAACAGGCTATTTTAAAAGAAAGCAAATGGTCCATAAAGAAAAACAATGTTTGTTTCTCTAATTTCAGGAAGTGTGATAAACATAAAACTATGTCAAGTGATATGGACGGTAAAATTTGGTTTCACTCGAGTTGATTCATTTTTGAGGAACAGTATATACTGTAGTAGTACTGTATATTTACAGTATATCTGCTATACATTAAGCCAGGCCACACTCTATTCTGTTGTAACCCACTGCACTCTGGGTACACCAGTTGCCTAAACCACTCCACTGGACTCCTTTAAAACACTGGAACCTTGTCTTGATGCACAGCCTTGTCAGTGAGTGAACCACAGAGTGGCACTGACACATAACTAGCAGTTTCAATTCATGAAATCCACAGTGTGGCTTTGGGGATTTTAAAAAGATAGATGCAATACATGCAATGGTTGCTTTGCATCTATTTCAGCAACATCTTATAGGTGTACCAGTATCTTGCTGGAGACTGAATCTGTACTCTGGGTTACTCAACTTCACTCACTCATCCAGCAGTTGTGTTTCCTGACTACACTAAAAAGCACAGCAGTAAACCAAATACACCCCCCCCAATTGTTTGCCTGTATATTTGAATGAGGTCATACAAAATGTAACAACTGTGACAATAGTTCATGGTTTGATTCAATACGACTGTTGTCACAACAAATTTGTTGTTGTTGTTGTATTACAACAAATAATATATTTAAAGACTTTGTAGTCAAACAATGGAGTTTTGCCTGACCCATTTCGAGTAATTTCTTGTCAGCGTAACACAAGCAGCGTTTATAAGATAACAAAAACAACCAGGTGTGGTGACAAAAACATAAGGTTCCCAAGTCGAGAGCCTCATGACATATTTTTTTGGCATGGGGTGGATTATTTAATTTACCGTGTGAGCTGAATAAAATAACTTGCTCAATACACACAAAAAGCACTGTTACAGCTCTATTGATTACTTACTATTGACACATGTAAACAACAAATTCAAACATGTTCAGTAATGCACATGTTAATACTTTCTGTCAATCAGTCTGATTTCATTTGGAAAGAACATTTTGGCTTTTTGACAAGATCTACAGATATTTTACCAGGATACAAACTCAGTTCCTGACTGTGCTATAATCCAAATGAGCTTTATTTGAATGTGTGCCTTCCTGCATACATTTAAATAAAACTCATTTAGATATAATGTCATCTTTTTTTTTTTGTTATGACTCTGATTGACTGTGATATCCAGTTTAGCTGTGTTATCTATGTCTGTACATCAGCGTAATAGGACAACATAAAGTTTGGTTTGGGGCAAATTTCCCCTTAAGAAAATGTTTTGATGATAGCCACTTAAAATATAGTTATATCAAGACAGTGAGCTGCATTTCAGTTAGCACTATAATACTGCTGCGAAAAAAAAATGCCACCAAGACTGAAAGGGCGGGCAACCACAACACCCCAATCATGTTCCAGATGTGTAGTTTGAGTACAGATGTTGGAGCATGATGTCCTGTGTGTGGAGCATGTCCAAAGCATCAGAAAAGGCAATAAAATAAAGACCAAATTAAGTCATGTTGTAGTGTGCTACCTCTTTTTGTGATGCCTAAAGTCCTGCGATCAAAGTGTAAACTATGCTTGGCAAATGGGACATGGCTTTGAAAGAAAAACCATACGCTCACTTTAGATGAACTTCGGAAAACACTTGATATAAATTTACCTGAAGGACTCCGGAGAAGTCAGCGTTCACTGGTCCTTCCGTAAACTGTGGTGTAACACTGTTGTTCACTTTGACCTGATGGATACAAACAATTCAGTGTTTACAAAGAAGTGAATTACTGGATTAATTACAGTTAGTAATACTTATATTACGAGTGAATTGCTTGCGGTCAAGCTTGATCATTTTGTTAAGAATATGTGGCTGATGACTTGGTGAATAGGTGAATCATAAGATCAAATTTCCAATCCTTACATGGTGAAGTAGGGGTCTGAATTTTCAAGCTATGTGTGTGTGGTGCACCTTCAATTGTTAGGCAATGCTGCCAGGCCTGTCCAGGCTAGGCAGGTAGACTGATGTATAAACAAAATGTGTCATGACTCGTGTTTGGACATTTAAGAGTCAGTTCACCCAAATTACAGCGAAACATCTCTGGGTCTAATGGAGTCCCAACATCCAAGTAAAGGAGTTGTACATTTATTAGGAGGCAGGCTGTTTATGCATGTATCATAAACCTAGACACATTTGCAGAGTTAAAGACTTTGATTACATTCATAGCTCCAATGATACATTAAATATACAGAGAAAAACAGAAGGCACATTTCACTGCCATGCAGAAGGATGCATCTTTAAGCTACATTTGTGATTTTTGTGCCCCAAATAGCTTCCAACTAACTTTTGAATCAACATCTGTGAGTTGAACTATTAAACACAAGATAGTTACAAATAAATCTTATGTTGTCAGTGTAAGTTATGGGTTTATTGCAAACTCGACGTGTATAACCAAGTTACCTGGGATAGCTGAACTTAGTTAGATGGTTTTAGCTCATCTTCTGACAAATACAGCCAAGTTAAAGTAAGAAAAATCTTAATAAGCAAGAAAAGTGGAAGGTCAGCTTGTAAAAACACATAAAGGCCCGACGGGGCTTAAGTTGTTAGTACTCCTCACTGTTAGCATTAGCTAGCTGGATTGTTTATCTGTGTAATAGCAGCATATGGCCAACTGTGTTGAACCTTACTGTATTCCCGATTAATCTCAGTTTGGACAATATAGTCTCCACCTAACTTGGACTGCATTAGCTCAAAATAATGCTTCGCGGTGTCTAAGTTGTTGTCAATTCAGCTACGATCTCTTAACTTGAGCTAACGATGGTAGTACTCACAGCGTTTTGTCCAGGACACAAGTAGCCTAATGTTTACGGCACTTTGACACAACATAACAAGGCCACTGTAGCTATATAGGACTTTCTAGCTGGCACTGCGTCCCTCAAAAGCACAACAACCAGCATTAGCACTAATTAACCCAGTTAATTTCTAGCTACGTTGCATAGGTTAGTGAGCTAGCCGCCTTCCTCGCATCAGTGTCGGGCCCAAATCAGATTTGTGTCGTTGATAACGCCGCTAGCTGGTCGACCCGTTTTTGACATCCACCAGTTCACGTTGTGTGACACTCTTACCTCTCCGTTAATGCCCGCGATGGACCCTATATTCCCGTTGCCCGTGCTGCCAGGTGTTAAAAAGCTGACGACAGAGGCAGGTGTTGCTGTACCCGCACAGCCTAGGGCCGAGGCAACCCCGGCCTTGCCACCGCTGGTATTGCAGACAGCACTGCAGCTACTGCCACCGCCCCGCTTGTTCTTCCTGCGCTTAGCCCCTCGTTTAGCATCGGTTGGACTCATTTTTTTCCACAAAAGAAGCGAGACAACTTGCCGTCCAGACTTGGCAGGGTCTCAAGTGGAATGCCAGGCGCAATCACTTGGGTATAAATCCGGGATAGCGATTAAGAGACTCCCAAAACGACAGACACTCAGTTCCATCAAAGTGCAAGCCGACTTCATAGATTCCAATATGGCCTCTAGCAGGACTGCCTCAGCCAGGCTTCAGCTTGCGTTACAACGCAACTGTGCGTCGCCCATCCCGGGGGCTTCTGGGAAATGGAGTTTGTTGTGTAAAAATCACATTGTACCAAGCTACTGGGCGAAAGTTGTAGTTGTAGCTTAGATAAAGCATATTTGTCTGCTTATTGTTATGTTTGACCTAAAATATATATTTAGTTGTCATAAAAACAATACTGAAACAACTTACTCCAGACTTTGGACACAAACTGCAAGCAGCATTGTTCAACAGCAGGGGGAGATCGCATGCAGCAAGTGGTCTCCTTCTGATGACAGCCGAGGGCCCGGACAGTGGATCAGTCTTTCCGGGGTTCAGCAAGTCGAGTATCCGAGAGGAGAGCCGGACAGCGCCGATGATAGTTTGGTAGTATACCTATGCGACGGTTGCATTAACGACAGGCCTTTCCGAAGACACGTCCAGTGCGGCACACGGCACCAAGGATTTCACTGAACTACAACGGCTACTGCTCCCAACGGCTAACAGTTACACAGCTACAACAGTTAGCCACGGCCGCAGACAGGTAACGTGAACTAAAGTTGTGACCATCACCGGTCCCTTGTGGCGTTGCAGTTGCATATGTGGCAAAACAGTAAGACAACGTTAACACAACATGAGAAGCTTTTTTTTTTATTTAAGTTTATTTGTTTACCGCCACAAGTTCGTCAGTTGCCGTTAAGCTAACGTTACGTCGGCTAACAACACGTCAACGGCTCCTGATACATTCAAATTAGTGGGCAGCTTTTTTTTTTTTTTTTTTTAGCTTGCTTAGCCTTAATAATGTAATATTAATGTTACATTATATTATATGATTTGTAGTTATTGGCGTTTAAAAAAAAAAAAAAAAAAGAAGGGAGGGGGGGGCATTTGATCACTTTTGGGCACCCTGGCTTGTCACGTGACTGTGCTGCAACAGGTAATGTACCTAACCTTGCTAAAAAAAAGAAAAACCACCAGGGCCTGTTCCGGTAACGTTTGACTGTCTAGTGTGCAAGTAGCATTCACGTCGTGTAATGGAAATAATGTTAATGGGTTGCACACACTGTCTCTCGTTGCCTCTGGCAGCAGTTAGCTCTGTTCATCCGTATCTTATTCAAGGATTGCCAAAATTAAATTGGCCTATCTACATTTATTTGTATGTTTGTGTCAGGGTGTAAGTACTGGATAGATGCATCTATGTTTTGAAATGCACACAGTGTGGAGATAAATGCCCAACTAGACCAATCTGTCTATCTACAAAATATATCGATTTTATTTTCATTGATTTAGACCTTTATTCACAGTAATGTGTTTTATATTTCTCTTGTGTTGTACAATATAAACAGTGTGAGATGTAATTTTCAACTACTGTCGCAACTTGGGGTAAGAAGTAGTTTCGAGCAGTGGGAGAATATTGTTTCATCCAGATGCATAGTAAAGTATTTAAGGAAATACTCTCTAAACAGCAGTAACCAGTACACTTAATTAATATTCTCATATATTGTCAGGTATTTATCTTATCTTATCTTATCTATAAAAAAGCACGCTTAGCTCTGTGACTTGAATGTAATGATGATACATACAGGCACAAACTGAGGGTAGGTCAACAGTGCAGTCCTGTATTGTATAACAAAGTACAATACAGGACTGCTCTATAAACAGTCAGCGAGCGTGGTAGGACCTGTTCATACCCTCCTATCTGTCTGTTTTCAGGTATGTCTGAAGTTAGTCTTGAGGCTGAATCGGGGAAGACCTCAGCTGAGGACCCTCAGATGGATTGTGAGGAGGAGGCTGACAAAGCAGTGGCGAGTTTGAGTGAGGATGTAAAACAGGAGAGTGTAGACGACAGTGAGGGAAGAGATGACAGGGCTGAAGTGCTGTACGACATTGATATTGACGGTGCTGACGAAAACCACGATGTTCAGAAGGAGGATGAGTTCACTCAGAGTGAGGGTGGGGTGAGGTGCAGCGACAGTCATGCTGCACACATGTCTGACAGTGTAGACAATGGGGGACACGAGACAAACCATCCTGTTGAAACAGATGAAACACCAGAGGAAAGCGGAGATTCGCACACTGAAACAAAGGTGATATTTACCTTCACTTTGGACAATCAATCCTCTTCTAGCACTTCCTTACTGTGCTCTTTTTTTTTTCTTGTTGCTGTTTCGGTCTTTATTTGCTGCTGGTGGTGGTCTCCTTCCTATATAATCAGTTTATTTTGAGATTGAATATTGTTGTGAAGGTTTATCTGATATAATCAACAACATGAACTTGAGTTATAGCTGTGAAGTGATTGTGTTTGTTTCTTCCTTTTTTATTTATGGTAGAAGTGCTTCAGATTTCCTGCTTTGCTCGAGGTTTTAGAAATCTGTAGCTGGTGTCGTCGTTGCTCTGCGTTGATGATGCAGTTAGTGGCTTTCTTTCTTTTACTTGTCTGACCGAGAGGTGTCTTAATGTGTTTGGGGATGATCAAGGCTTCATACATTTTCTCTGCTTTGTATAAATGCTGGCTTACCTCAAAGTGATTGTTGAGGATTTATATATTTGCTGTTCATTAATGTTCAATACACATGTCTATTATTATAGTGTTAAACCAGTAAGTATACACTTCTCTATGTTCATGCATTCTTTTGTTGGACACTGACTGTGTGTGCGTGTAAACGTGTACATGATGTGCAAATGATACCATTTCCTCACAACGTTTCCCTGTTTGTAAGTTGAGTGTACATAGAGTTCGACGTCAGTCACATGGCTGGGTAAGTGAAACGGATTTGCACTCCTGACTGCATATTCTCTGGCAGTCCCACATTTCTTGCAGGAATGTGACTCCTCAGGCTGTTCATTCACGTTCTGTTTCGGGGCTCGGTGCCAGTATTGCACATCAAATTGAAATAATTTTTAAAAAATGTAGTAAACCTAAATGCAGGACTGTTGTAATCCCAAATTCTCCATCCTTTTTGCAATTTAAACCTGACATTGTGCAACATACTTGGGTCATGTTCTTCCGTAGTCTGAGAAGCAAGACATAATTCTTTCCTCTTCAGCTGAGGCAGTTAATTGGACAATTAGCTCATTGTTGTTATCCCTCCCTCCCTCCCTCCCTCCTCATGTTAGCTTGTATCCAGGATACTGAGCTGTAGGGAACGATGACTTGCCATACCTTGCCTCGTCATATGCCTGATTGATCTGAAGCCACTTTGCTACTTTCAGTGCTCTAGTAGACTGATACTATTAGCAAGCTTCCTTGCAGAGTGTTTGCAGATGGCGGGTTGGATCAGACCCCTGACCATTCCAGGATCCACAGCTGAATCAGTGCCATTAGGTTATGCAATGTAAGAAGACAAACAAAGCAGGTCGTCAAAATTTTGTTACAGTCGGTCTTGATTTCCACCCTTTTTTTTTTGTAATGCGTGTAATCAGAGACGTGTCTGTTCAAACTTGGTGTCAGAGACGACTGTCAGATAGGAGTCTGTCTCTTATCTGCAGTAGGTGGTTAGACAAGCCTAGCAGTGCATGTCTACTGCCTGCCTGCATGCAGGCGTCATATGGCCTTTAAGTATTTATGTGTCTGTCTTTGTCACACATGACAACATGGAATCATTTTATAGTGTTTCACTTTGGTCTATTTAATATGTCATATTGTTGTTAGGCGTATCAGATTCTGGTTTTAAAAAATATGTTTTGACTTCCAGAGAGCCAAACACACCACTGACTTTTTAAGAGCACGCAAGCAGTATCAGATGATACATTGAGAGACTTAATTTAATCTTGTTTTAAAGAAAAGATTGCGTTATTTATGCTGTATTGTCTGATTCATTTGTCCCTGTCCTTAAAGGAGCTATCATGCCAGCATCCCAGAGTTAATAACTTATAGTATTTTAACTTTTTTTTCCTTTTATATCTATGAATGCGATCAATGCCCTTAAAGGCTTGGCGCCGCCTGTCTCTTTAATGATCACATACTACTTCAAGGAGCTACTCTGCTACCTAGAAGGAGCAGTCCTCACATTTAAGTCTTTTTTTTGTGTGTGTATCTCTTTGTGTATGTGCACTTAAAGTGTACTAACCTTCTTTCATTCATAGTCTGAACTAGAATCAAATATATATTTACCCAGTACTGGAAGGAATTTTACCTGGTGGTCCTTAAAGACATCATTTACGAAAAAAATAAAAAAATGATTTAAACTCACTCTTTTTGCTCACACAGTGAAACAAGTCAGTCTGTTTAGACTAAACCCAGATCGTGTTACCTGATCTGGTAGCTATTTGCATTATTTAGACCCAGTCAAGGTCCACCTATAGTCGAAGGATCTTGTTCAAGGATGCAAATTCAGATTTGTTAAATACAATAAAGTTTTTTCAGTGATACCTATCCTCTTCGTCAGGCCTGTCACTTATCAACATTAACCAGCTTTATGCTGTCAGACCTTTATAAAGCTTTCTAGTTGTCAGGTTAGTGTCCTAGTTCTCAAGTCCACAGTGATTAAGCCACACAAATTGTACAAAAAATAACAGCTGCATCTTCAGCCTGCAACTACAGGAAGATAGTTTATAACAACCTAAACAAAACTGATGTTGCCATAAACTGTGTTCTCCACCCTGCATCTTGCTACGAGGCAACCTGTAAATGTGCAGCTGCGCAAGCCACTGTGTCATTGTGTCATTTTAATCCTCAGCTATGGTTACGAGAGACCATGATTTATATGCTGTCATAAAGATTATACCAGGACTGTCCACGTGGTTGTTAATTATATTCAAGGCCAAGGAGAATTTTGTTTCATGCGTCGTTCCTGCATCGCAAGATTTTCCAAGTTAGACCACAAAATTACCAGTTATAAACCATGACACATAGGATTTAATGTGGTCACTGTAAAACATAAAATCTTGTATTTGCTGTGAACATTGTCTGTGTAAAGGCTCGCCGTGGAGAACAGATGATAGAGATAAGTGGTTGATTCCTCTTTTTTTTTTTTCATAGTAGCTTCATGGGTGGAGGCATTATGCACTTTACCTTCATGGTAAAAGATAGTGTGTTTACGATACACAACCAAACCAAGAACATATTTATACTGTCTAAAGAGTGAAGCTGGTGTAAGGCTCTCGGTAACATATTCCATCCTGCAGTGTTGTAAAATAAGGGAGTGTTGAAAATTGATGTCAGTTGTTGCAAAATAACTTCCTGGTATCCTGATAAATGCTGTAATGCTGCAACGTAACTGACTTAAAGCTCACTTAGCTCTCCATCTTTTCCTGGCAATTAATGAATAATTTGTTGAAAGAGGGTGGATTTACCTGAATGCAGGGATATTTATTTCAAACCTTTGCTTGGCTGGAACAATTTGGGTGAAATCAGTGATATTGTTATCTTTTCTTCTTTACAGTGTATGTTACTTTAACAATTCACCAATCAGTGTCCTTCACCCTAAAGTCAAACTATCATGTTATTACTATATGAGTCCACAGAACCAGTATTAGTAGTGTTATTGAATCGTGCCCAAGGCCACTAATTTTCACTATGGCTGTGTCCACAAGATGGCAGCCAAAAACTATTGTGTCCCACTTGTGGCTCCTGAGTCCTCCTCTCTTAACAGCTCTCTCTTTGAAGTTGTTTGGGAAAGCTTTAAAGAATAACCTGCTTCGTTTCACCGCCCTCATTACAGGAAAGCACAATGGCTGAGGAGTCCCATAGAAGCTCAGCCGCTGAGATCCCAGTCACCAGCAACGGAGACCTGGATCAGAGCCCTGAGACAGTATTCCAGAGGGTAAGGGCTTGTTCAGAGACTTTTGAGAGCAGCCTATCTCAAACTTGTATAATTGGCTTAGACAGTGTGAGACTACTGGCTTCCCAAATAAAAACCCTTGAATAGGCCTTCAAAGTCTTTGGATTACAAGGTGGTGTCTTTAGTAACACTACCCTTTGTTATGATGTCTGTGTCTTTCATGGATACATGAATAAGAGTATTATATTTCATTAAATTGGCTCAACTTCAACCAATAAAACTCCACTCCTGGATTAAAATTAACAGTGCAACAAATCTGCAACATTTATATTTTTGGCAATACAAATAGTAGGGCTGTAACAAATTATTTTCCTTATCCATTAACCATTATTATCTTAATTAATCAATTCAGTTGTTTTGTCTATGCAATGGGTCTATGATTTCCCATAGCATTAGTATATGTATTCAAAGTGCTTCTTTTATTTTCACCAACAGTCCAAAGTTCAAAGATATTCAGTTTACTATCATATATATGGCAGGGAAGACACCTCAGCCACAAGCATGTATGCAGCTTCAAAGCATTCACTCGTCAAAAACTAGTTCAGACAGGATAAGCACTGATAAATCGTGCAAGGGACTTACTGTATATTGCCTTGTTTAACGTCTTACAGTGATCATTTGTGTCAGACATGACTTGAATGTTAATGCATATGTAAGTGTCAGCGGTGCACCCGATAACTGCAGTTGACTGCTTTAGTTTCACAATGAGTTAACTTTACTTCCATAACTAGAATGACATGAATGTTTTTAAATGTTTGCGTCTGTGCACTCAATCCTTTTCCCCCATAAACCATTCACAACCCACACTAAACGTATGATTCAGTTTTAAATGTTGTCACGTTTTCTCGACGTCTGCCTCAATCTCCTGCCAATCTGTACATCTGTATCATTTCCCTCATTGCAATATGGCTTTTATTGTAAAGTTGATCTAAATCTATGTGAGTGAACCCCTTTTACACAGGTGAACTGGTTAGATGTAGTGTTTGAGGTGTCTGTTGAGATTTTAGTGAACCAGAAAATGTCAAACATTGATGCCTGTCAGCCAAGAACCATTAAGCCTGTTAATATATGTTTGAATTTTCTTATAGGACTCTTACCCCAGTGGCCCTGGGGCCCTAAACCTCTCAGAGTCCCATGTCCCCTCCAGCAACTTCGCTTCAACAACAGAAGGCATCATTGAATCAGGACCATACAAAGGTAAAACATTTCACGTCCCATTTTTACTGTTGCTCTCCTCCTTCTGTTCGTGTACTGTTTCCTCGATCATTCGAGTTTTGTGAAGGAGCAGCAGCTCATCAACAACTTATTGTTACATTATTTGATTGCTTTGCAGCATTATGTGTATGCAAACAGTCTTTCTTTCTATGTATTCCCAGTGCTCCACTTTTGGATTTATAATCAAAAATTTGAAAGGCAGACATTTGAATTTGTAAAGGTGGACATCCAATTGAATTTAATGAGTTTCCTCTGATCTCCAGGTTGTAACCCTTCTTTTCCTTTTCATCATCATGCCCCTTATTACAAATGCAAATAAAAATCTCCCCATAGAAGAGTGAGCTGTTGTAACCCGTTTACCACAATGTTGCCATGGCTATTTTCCATGTTATTTACACTGGTTGAGGTAGGCTTTTGTGCAGTAACACATTCGACCTGCAACATGGGGAGAGCCACCGTAATTTAAAACGAACGCACAGGAAATCAACATCAATGAGAAATTCCCCCTTGCACTTGTGTAGGTGCGATGGTGACATACTAATGAATCATAACTCTGAATATCTCCCAGGGTCAGCAAGCCTGCCCACGTCTCCCGTGGCACCTGTAGCTCCCAGCTCGGCTGTTGCTAGCCGCCTGGCACGCTCTTCCAGCGATAGTCAGGCTGAGACAGGTACCAGCAGCAATGGAGTATGAATCAGATGATACTGAACAGTCACCATTTGCACTCTAAATTAACCGCAGTCTATTTTACCCCTCTTGGTTTTCATCAATTTCTTACCTGCTCCTTGTTTCCACAGGCTGTGGTCCATTCAGAATCAAACCTTTCTTCTTCTCCTTTCTTGTTTATTGGCTCTCCAAACTTTACCTTTGCATAAGTCTGGGCTAACTGAAGTAGTTTCCTGCTTTGCAGTGGCTAATGATAAGCGTCTCTACATACTCCTTAGAGTCTAGATCTCAAGATTTCTAGTTCTGATGCAACCTCACGATGTCTGAAGCATTTGCTTGGCTTGGAAAGAAAACTGCCTTCACATTTGATCTCAGTGGGTTTTTTTCCTGCTTGCAACCTTTGTCCTTGCTGGCACCCATAGGCTCTTTCTGTGGATCCCCGGAACTGACGAAATGTAGTGAAAGGTTGTCAGACAAGTCAAAAATATAGCTGAATAGATCAGTTTTAGTGAAATGATTAAAATTTAGTTTAAAAAGAAAGAAAGACTTAACTAGAAAAAGAAGAAAGAAAGAAGTTTAATGCTTTTTTATTGTTTTTCCTTTACCACCAATTAATTGAAAGCATTAATTTAAACTTAACTGAACACAAGTAGCTAAACACATTAACCACCAGCTGTTTTCAGCTTGTTATGAAACTACAAAAGTCAGTGCACATCATTTTATCATCTATACGCTCCATAACATTGCAACATCACTGCATAAACTCTTGTAATATCTAAAACCTATTTAACTGGTAAGCGAGAGAGTAAGAGTTAGAAGTTTCTGTTTGACATTATAAAAAAAAGAAACATGAAGTTACACACTCATGTTCAAAATGGTGGCCCAATGAAGTGCATGACTTATTTCCATTATGGTCCTTGATGAGCAGTGAAAGATGAAGATGAAGTGATAGTTAGCATTAGCTTGTTGGTTAAAAGTATAAAGCTTTATGTTTCTTTCCTTTTCTTGCTCAACCAGGGCTGCTACCGGAGTGATCGGCTTTCTTTCTTTTTATACTCAATTATAATTATTTAACTTACAGCATTATTTCATATTTATTGATGTATTTATCTATATTTTGGACTTGTCTGATAACCTTTAACTACATTTTGTCAGTTTTGGGGCTCAGTATCCTTCAGCATTTCCCTTCTATGCACAAACCACAATAAAGCACTTTTCATCACTTTTACTGTGACTGTTAGCATTTTAAAAGTGGTAAGTCATGACTAAATGTATTTGTAATGTTCATGATTTGAATAATCTTAGATGCCTTTAAATTTAGTATGTGGCCTGTGTTAAAGTTTCAATGTTAACATGACAATCTCATTACACTGTTTGATAATTATAACACTTGAATTGTACCTCCCTAACTTTCACCACAGCTCTCAAGCCTGCAAATCCAATAACGTAATCACTCACTAAGTGAATGACTTTTAATTGTCCAGGCGCAATGAAAGCACAGCCACAGAGTGGAGCAGTGGTCCTTTCAGATGACTTAAAGAACCCAGCCATGGAAAAACTGGACCTTGTGAGAAAGTGGAGCATCAACACTTATAAAGTAATCCTCTCTGTCCTTGATTTATTTTTATGTCCCTTCTCTACCCTGCTTCTTCTCTCAGCCTTTGTCCCCCTCTTTGTCTTCTCTCAGTTATTAGGATGTTGGCAGAAAAGTGAGCAATACCCCAAACTGACCCACACAAATGATTTGATATCTTGTCTTGCTTTAGACTCTGTAATTTGGCTCCACTCTGTCCCTCTGGTTGCTTCTTTCACAGTCTCCCTGCTCTTTTTCTCTTGACTAAGTACAGTAAAACCTCCCAGCAGTCATATTTTAAAATGGATTCAGACTCTTTATCGGTGTGTGTTAATAAGCCTGCCCTCCTCTGCAGTGTACTCGGCAGATCCTGTCAGAGAAGCTGGGCCGTGGCTCGAGGACCGTTGACATGGAACTGGAGGCTCAAATCGAAGTCCTCCGTGACAACAAAAGAAAGTACCAGCATGTAATCAAGCTGGCTCAGACGCTGGCCAATCAGCTGTCCCAGATGATGCAGACGCAGAGGCAGCTGGGCGACGCCTTCGCTGACCTCAGCCTCAAGTCACCAGAACTCCATGTGAGTATACATATATATATACTCTGAAATCAGTCAGGTTGGGTAGGATTATGAGGGTATGTTATCATCCTCACATCGTGTCCTCTTCTGGGTAAACATGTTTTCTGAGGCCCCACTTTTGATCCCTTTTAGATTACTGTTTACTTTTATTTTTTGAAGCCTCACACACACTAGACCATGTAATTAATGGTGTAAAAGGCAGCAAAGAGTGATGCATTATTGAAGATTAAGTCCTCTTTCACTTCCTTTATGTCTTCTAATTGTGTCCATGTTTCAAATACCAAAGTGCATTCTGTTTTATATTTGAGTGCATATAGATTGCAATTACTGTACATCATAGAATTACATCTATGTATTTTATATCTCGGATGTTGATGTTCTTGTGGGAATGTGGTGCTGTGTATTTATTGTAGTAATTGCTGGTTAATTATGTCTTATGGACATTCATTTATATATATTTTTTTAATATTTGTGAGGATTAACTATCTCCATGGATTAAAGTTTTGTGTTTAATTAATGACTTTGGCAACAAAATTAGTTGTAAAAATCACAATTACTCCCGTGTATAAGTGCAAAATGTACAGTATGATGCTGGCACTCGTAGTTGCTTTAGTCACTGTAGACAACGATGCGGAATAAGCCAAATTCAGCAATATAATGATTGTTAAATCTGTTCTATAGGAGGAGTTTGGTTACAACGCTGACACCCAAAAGCTTTTGTCCAAAAATGGAGAGACACTGCTGGGTGCAATCAACTTTTTTATCTCCAGTGTTAACACACTTGTGGACAAAACAATTGAAGACACCATGCTTAATATCAAACAGTATGAGTTTGCCAGGTAGGTAATGCATGATTTAAAAATGTGTTTATTGTCCCTGTGCACCATTTCCAAACCACAAATGATTATCCAGCCAGAAAATGTTTCAACCCTTGATGAAGCTTTGTAAGATCAAAAATGCATTACCTTCATCAGGTCAAAAGACCTCCATACGGACACTCTGCTATCCTTGCCTTTAAAAGTTTAATAACTGAGACATTTTAGAAGTGTGATAAATAAAATTTGTGGATTGTATTGTTTTCTACAAGGAGAAAATGTAACATTTGAAGTTACTAGACAACTGCTTTAGTAGCGACCATCATGTTTAATACATACTTCATTCACTCCAAAAACAAGCTAACATGTACACCCTCATACATGCAGTAATTTGAATATTGTAACCTGTATGAAAATAATAGGATACTTATGTATGAATGCGTACTAAAATTTCACTACATTTTCTTATGCACAAACAAAACTTACGTTTGCATTCAGTAATGCATCTAATAAACACACTGAATACATTTCCACCTTCATAAAACACTTCCAAAGCCGAAGCGATCTTCTTCGTTCCTGCCTTTGTTTGCACCTGGCTGCATATCTTGGAGCACTACTACCACCAGTAGATCTGTGGATAGTGTGAAACCATTGGCTGGACTGTTTAAGACATCACCTGCTTGCATGTGCATCCTCGTGTGCGTTCACCAGACAACCAAAATTGACCCTTTTACAAAAAACATCTTCATAGAGGTAAAAAACACTCAGCTTCAATACTTCAAACATAAGAGATTGGACGTGGTGTGCAGGGATTAGTATGTGTTGATTTCATATAGTGATGTGCTTGTTTTCATCAGGTTTACACACACAGAACATATTTCTGATGCTGTAATAATAACACACTTCCAGGGTTGAGTATGACGCGTACCGCACAGACTTGGAGGAGCTGAATCTGGGGCCACGTGACACCACCACCATGCCCAAGATTGAGCTCTCCCAGCAGCAGTTCCAGATCCACCGCGAGAAGTATGAGAGGATGCGAAACGACGTCTCCGTCAAGCTGAAGTTCCTGGAAGAGAACAAGGTGGGCTAGCGGGTCGTTCTGCTCTACATACCTGCACCAACATATTGGCTTTCAGTGTGCTTATCATCTCTTTATTTCCTTTTCCTGCTCCCAAACAGGTGAAGGTATTGCATAACCAGCTCATCTTGTTCCACAACGCCATAGCTGCGTACTACGCTGGAAACCAAGAGCAGCTGGAACAGACACTCAAGCAGTTTCACATCAAGTTGAAAATGCCAGGTGGGGACAGTCCATCCTGGCTGGAAGAGCACTAATCACTCCTTTCTGAAGCCATAGTGGCTCAGTTTGACAGGAAATGTCGAATTCTACAGAAACTACAGGAATCCCTCCCCCCCTCTCAACTCTACTGTCACTGCCTTTCAAACTGTCAGAATTATAAATCTTTTAACTTGATACATAAAATGGAAAAAAAAAAAACAACCTCACAATCTGTTTTACCCTTGATGCTAAATCCATTCTGTCTCTTCTTTTCATCAGTTATTTCAAATCATAGGAAATGCACTTTTATACTGTTTGACAAATCTGTTGAACGGGAGTTGCTGCAGTAAACACATCTGGAAACTGTAAATGGCCTTTTGTACTCCAGCATATGAATGTTGTATGTCAGCTTGGCGGACATGTTGGCTCTGTAAGGGCAGCTACGGGGTCACAACAACTGCCATTTTACTCACGTTATTTATATTGCTCTATCAGCTGACTGGGATGGACACGAATGCTTTATGAAAGTGTAATCAGGAAGCTTGAACATGAATACTCTCATTATTTGACCGTGCACCTGTTATGATAAACAGGGCAAACTGGCATTCAGATTTCTGGATCATGCAAACTGGTCACTTTTACCAGCAAACTCGGAGTGGTAGTTTGCCATTTTAAGCTTATTATTGTTTAAGCTTATTTCATATTTCAGCTTATTTCGTTTTGCTGTTCAATATAAGGCTGCAGACAGAAGCTTAGCTTAGCTTAGCTTAGCTTGAAAAACTGCTATCCTGGCTCTGTCCAAAGGTAGAAAATTCTGCCTACCAGCAACTCTAAACATCACTAATACAAAAACCAAAGTGTATAAAAAAAAACAAGCTGTGTTTTTACAGAATGCTGTGTGCCTCAGGACAGAGCCACGAGCTGCTCCCCCCCCAATGCTAAGCTAAGCTAACTAATCAATCAAAGAGGATCAATCTTCTCATCTAACGCTTGGCAAGAAAACATTAGTATTTCCCAAAACTATTCCTTTAAATCAATGCTTAAAAGTCATATTGATGGCTGTTAACAATGCATGTTATGATATGATTGATCACTTTTAATCAACATTACTCTTCCGTTTTTTAAGCATTTCCCTAATTTGTCCACATTCATGGCATATGACTGAATGAAAATGAAAGTGGCGATTCTCCTAAATTCCAGAGTAAATGAAGGACCAGCCTTATGTGACTAAATGTGCCTTGATTTCTTGAATTTGTTCCTCTCTTCCCCTCCGTGCTATGATATCTGGTCTTGTTACTGATAACAGACGCTCTCACTACCAGTTTTCGGGACCACTGCTTATGGGAAGAGAACGGACCAATCACACACATACACACACACTCTGAGGATGTACACAGCCTGTACAACTTTACATGTTAAAACACCCAACACAATTACAGCTCCGTTAAAAAAAATAATCCAGGAACTTCAGAAAGTCAAAATGTATTTTAAGACTTGCTGTTCTCAAAGATATTTATCCATATTGCACATATGCACATTTATGCATTTGAGACTAATTACAAAAAGAAACTTGTAAGAACTGTATGATATGTAAGGTGAAAACCAAAATGTGATTAACTTGAGAAAGTTTTTGTCTTTTTGTAAATTTAAAAGACCAGCATCGTTTGCCTGAGCTGCTAACAGTTTCTTTCATTGGGCTACATTAAAATATATTTTTTAGAGAGGACATATTGTACGCTGGTATTGATAACCAGCTCTCATGTCTTCACTTTGTTGATTTGTATTTTTCCTATGGGTCACCATAGCAGTTTGAGAGTGTGGATCTTGTACAACAATCTATTGTTTTCCCTGAAATAGATGGATATATATTTGTAATTTTCTCTATTTTACCTTGAGTATGTAGTCGATGACCAATGCTGCCATTTGGCTTTGTTTTGTTTTCCCTGAAGACCTACAGAATGATGTTCTAGTACTAGTATGTGCTATTGGATCTCTACCTTCATAATAATGAAACATTAACAAGTGTTGAATTAAGGGAGGACTCTGAATGCTGTGTGATCTTTTGGGGAAAATTAAAGGTTCTTTTCTTTAAGCATCTTTAGAGTTGTTGTTTTTTCGCAGTTTGTATGAAAAGTCACCACCAGGGGCCAACAAAGACATATGAAGCAAGTTTAAAGCCTTTTAGTACATCTGGACATTTGGATACAAACTAGGGAAGAGCTGACGTGTCCTATGAGAATGAACAATTATACTTTAAGTAAATCTGTTCTCCATTTATCCTGTCTTGTCAACTTGTTCCCATCCAGATAGACATCAGTGGTTTATATTCTGTTGACATATGCATTCAAATTGACTTGTGTTTACACAAGTCCAGGTGCTTTTAGGTTCCCCTTCAGGTTTTTATAATCATAAACCCACCGCACCCACAGGTATACATTTGACAGGATCTGGTTAATCCTCAGAAAAGCCTCAAGGAAGTTGATCACAGCCTCTGTGTCGTGTTTTATCTCCGTGGCTCTTCAGAACACTGCGCTAAACAAATAGATTTGCTTTAATAGCAGTATAGTTTAATGTTCTTCAATGGAAAGGTAAGGTACACTGCAGCTTTTGTGTCAAAGGTATGTGGCTCGATTTATTGTGAACCATTTTCCTGTGAGGTCTTATCATTGCCTAGAGGAAAAGCCTTATTGGTGGGTAAAAGTACAACATTCAAGCAGTGATCAACAGTTTAATCACCAGTGCAAAAGAAAATAGCTAATGTGTGCATTTTTCCAGTCAACCTTCATCAGTCATCTCTTGATCAGGTGCGTTCACACTTATTATGAACAAGTTGTGGAGGATGTTTTCAGTCTATAAAGCAGCAGGTAGAAAACTGTAGTAACTGAAATATCAGTAAAATTCCTGCATTCAGATTTTTCTTTTAAAAAAGTATTAGCAGTAAAATGTACTCAAGTATCAAAATCCAAAGTCTAAATGCAGTGTCTAAAAAGCATTATGGCATCAAGCTGAAACAAGGCTTTTCCTGAAAAGTTTGACTGTACAATCTGAATATGGTACAGCCGTCAGATGGTAGTCAAAGTACGATACTTCTCTCAGAAATGTAATGGAGTAAAAGTTTAAATTTGAGATAAAATATAGTATCTCAAAACCAGCAATGGAAGAAGTATCCAAACCCTTTACTTAAACATACTACAATGGTTATGAAACAGTTTAATACTTAAACTACTGAAATTACCAGTACCACAGTAAATGTACTCTATTACAATGCATTAAAAGTTTTCCCTAAGCAGAATTATACCAAAATGCACATTAAGTGTAATATGTATGCACTGTGCAAAATGGCCCCATTCATGTTCATGTTATAGCCTAGTATTATTTTACATTATTGGATTAATATTAAAGTTGCATTAATGCGGATTTGACTGTTGTAGTTGGTCAAGATAATTTGAACTACAGTCAGATAAGTGTGGTTGTGTAAAAAGTACAACATTTTGCTCTGAAAGGGGCAGAAGTGTAAAGTTGTATAATAAAAATACTCAGTTAAAGTACCTGAAATCCTTCATAATAACAGTAACATTGAGTAAACGTACTCAGATCCTTTCCACCCATCGCTCACACCTGCCTAAGTGTCGCCAACCTAGTCAGTTACACGAACCCACCTGAGCTCGTGTCACCGGCTGCAGCCTTGTGATTGCACCAGTGGTCACAAGCTGCGGGTGGCGCGCGCGCAGGGTTACACGTGAACGCGCCTGTTCCACCTGGCCCAATCACGTACGAGGAAGCTCACAACACCGCCTGTCTGCTGCTGCTGCTGCTGGCTGGCTGCTGCTGCTGGCTGGACCTCTCTGCACTGTTCGTGCTGCAGCCCGAGTAGGACAGCAGCGGCTCACCTGAGCGGCTGATAACCTGGAAACACACCAATAGATTTTCTCCTCTGAAAAGTATCGACCACTAACTTCAACGGCGTCGGAGCGCATTACGTGTCCCGACCAACCCCTCTCATCCCTCCGGTAAGTCAAGCAGGACGGTAACCGCCGCATCATGCTGTGTTGTGGATGTGAAATATGTAACGACCTATTGTAACTCTGCTGTGAGAAGTCATTGTGCCGTGAGAGTGGAGTCTGCATGTCTGTTTCATCCAAGCAGAGAGCGTTTAACCTTCATACTACTGTTTGTTTCCTCTTAAGGTGACAACAGAAGGTGTCCTGCACTGCAGTTAGGGTCCAAAATTACATCATAATGAAGATTTAGTGTAGTTTGAGGCCTGAATCTGTTGCTCTAGGTATGTTGGCAATGTAAACAGCGAGGGAACAGTAGCTTGGTCTCAGTGTTTTAAAGATTTGATTCAAGAACTTTGATTATATTGCCAGTAGAGAGCTCAAAATGTAACGTATTACACGATAAATGAACCCAAATGTGTAAAATAAGAAATCTTAACATTGTAATGTGAAGAGAGTAGTTGAGATACAGCCTATAGAGAACATTACCCCATTTTAATGTGGCTGTTTTTATATTGACAAACAGTAAAATACTCTTTAATATCAATCCCAGAGTACTTTTTATAGGCCCTGTAGTTCTAGTTGGATTAGTAATTTCATGTTGGCGTAAAACATTTATACACATAGTCGAGTATTTCTAGTTGTCATCAAAATTAATTAAAAAGTGTAATCACAGCCGGTCAAACAAGAACTTTGTCTAAATAAAACATTGATTTAATTCAGGAATTATGTGACCAAACAATAAGTAAACAAAACTTCCGATCTGTGCTACAGATGGATTTCCTTGATTTACATTTGTATTTCACTTTAAAGCAATTACTGGAGTAAGAAGCAGTGTTTAGTGGTTGTTGTGTGGATTCACTAACAGAACTTACTGCCCCATCCCCAGCCCTTTTTAGCTCAACATGTATGGCTTTATAACCCTGCCCCTGGTTGGTTTTGTTCTGCACCTCAGACCCCAGCTTCCTTGGCTTTTGTGCACTATTATACATGCTGAGATGAATTAGAGGGCAATCCATTCAAGTGTTGGGAACAATACCCCCGTGGAAAAAAAAGAGTTTCTCCCCGGGTCAGGTCAAGGGAGAGGGGCGGTGTCACCCCCCGGTTGCTGTGGAAGCCGAGAGTAACATGGAAAACTCAATTCTCTGACGTCATCCCCGAGGAGGAAGATGTTGGGGGGCTTGATTTATTTCTGTGGGAGCACGGAGGGGCTGAATAGTTGCTGCCAACTTGGGTCAACTCGAGTGGTCTTTATGGCCTGAAAATCTGTCCTTGTCTTATAAATTCAATTTTTAGTCTGCAGTGACGGACGGTTAAAAAATAAAAAAAACGTGACAAAAGAAGAAAGAAAAGAGGAAGAAAATTAAGGAGTCCATGGTTGCATGCCTTTCTCTTTAAGTCACACCCATGTTACCACCCAAGTCTCTCAGCTATAAACTGTCTAATAAAGAAAATAAACGGCAAAAACAAAACGTAGAAAAATACGAGGGAAGCTGTTTCTTTAAAAACCGACACACCTTTTCTGCCCCCAAAAAAGATTCAGGTCTAAAATAAAACACTGTTCTTCCACAGATGTTGTCTCAATGAATATTGTTTTGGGGGATTTCTGAACATTGCTCTGTGGCTGTTGTGTTGTGTTTTGCAAGAGTCTGTAATGTGATACGTGCCTGTAAGTAGTGTTTCCCAGGTATTAAAATGTATTCTAATGAAGCCTGCTGTGTCTCTGTCCCCTTGGGCAAACACTTTTCCCCACCGCCATGTAAACATGTTTGCATTCCCTCCATGTTTCCCTGCTGTTGTCTCTATGGTGACGTGTTTCCTCACCTTTTTATATGTCATAATAACTTGCGCTTTCCTCAGCATCTGTTGGTTTAAGCCGGTTGTTAAGCTGAGTTTTTTTACTCAGTCATGCAGTACGTGTGCTATTTATGCTCAATACACTGTGATTAATCTTTAAGCGTTCGCTGGTTTAGTGCCGCACAAGACTGTGAAAGCCAAGAGGTACAGCTGGATTTGCCTAAAGCTCATCTTGGCACCGGGCTCAGATTGCTGAAGCAACAACTGGAGAGCAGAGCTAAAGGTGATGCAGACACAGTGGTCTGCTGCAGGCCAGACACCGATCACCTGTTAACAAAAGAACAAACAGAGGAAGATTCAAAGCTGTGGTTTTGATCCGTAGCCCCGCAGATGGTGTACTCTGTCTCATCTCATTCCTCCTTCTTGTTGTTTCCTCGTCGGAGTGGGTTTTGTTTCACCTGGTTTACTTTTTCACTGTGTGTGTGTGTGTGTGTGTGGTGTCTTTGTATTTTTTATTAGTAGATTCAGTGTTTGTTGTGATCTGAAGTCTAATATACTTCTGGTAAAAGGCTCTCTGGAGTACGTTTGAAACTGCTGTGTCATTGTGTGGGATAGTGTTGTTTCATTCGAAGTGGGTCATGTGGATAAAAAGTAAATGTGCGTAAATGCTTCGTTTTGGTCTCCACCAACTCCTGATCTGGCTCGTCAGCAGCTAAATGCTTCACTGTTATCACCAGCTAGTTGCCAGTTTTGTTTGGTGTTAGGAGTGTGGTGCATAGTGGGTTTGTCAGAGCAGCTTTAAAAATATACAATGACTGGAGCCAACAGTTGGCGGTTTATAAGGTACACTTAGCAAAAACAAATGCAGTCTAATACAACAGTCCTGTAATAAGTCCTCCCTTCATGGTAGCTATAATGTTCTGTTTCTGTTGTACAGAGGTTTGATTCAACTTTATGATCATTTTGGAGGATGTAGTTTGTGGCCCTGCTCGTCTGTTTTGCATTATACCGACAGGTTTTTAATATTTAGTTTATCCTCACTGATATAAATGGTGTGGACAACTTGTTTGAGACACCTCTCAGTGCAGTTGTAATAAACTGGCAACTAACTTTAGATACTGGGGTATAGCAAAATGTCAGACAATTGACAAATTTATGCCATATCATGGTGTGTATCATCAAGTGCTGTAATGATTTCAATATCGCTAACCCTCATATTAATAATTAATAGTTTAATTGTTAACTTTCAAGCAACTTCAATCTCTTGACACCTGAATGTGTGGCAGGTGCGTTGGAGGTTCAATGCAGTTTAAATAAAAGTGAAAATCCTCCAGCACACTATCTCCCTACTGCTGGTAATTAAAAAGAATGAAAAGAATCTAAATAAATATACCAGCAGTAAACAAGACAAGTCTTTTTCTCCTTTTTTATTCAGGTTGTTAGTCTATAAAATGTAAGATTATGTTCTGATACGACGTGAACAGCGAATGTTTATAATATTTTAATAAATAGTTTAAATTATTAATCAATTAAATCAAAATTGTTCACTCAGCTGTCAGTCCAGTCAGTTAATCCTCTAATGGAAATGCTCGCTGAAGTAAGTTTGAGGTGAATGTGTGAAGATTTATTTATGTTTTGCATGGGATAGTATTATCCAGTATTGGCTTATGGTTCTAAATGATCAGCTGCTTACCAACAAAACTTAACAAGTGAGACATTCAAAACATTTTTTCTGCTTGGTCAGTTGTTAAGAGGATAAGCACAGAGTCCTTGTTTGTTTGAATCAGATTTAAAAGGGTTTACTGTTGGTTATATGATTAGATAAATTCCCTCTTCAGTTACAGGTTAGCTGACAGGTGTGATATAACATGTGTTACAGGTGAGATAGTCATTCATATTAGTCTTAGCTGAACCCGTCTGAAGCCTGTTTAAACAGTCATTGACACAGCAGGCGTGCATGCTCTGCAAACTGGCAGCTTTAATCTTTAAAATCTGAAAACCTCGTTTCAGACACAGACTGTTATTACCAGATTTATGCTAAGCCTGGGGGATGTGTTGTGTTGGGGGCTCCTGTATCTGCACTCAGTCTTTACAAAATCCTTCGTTCTCTGACTCTGCAGGTGTTGATTTGACAGTAGGAGGCACAGTGAAGTGACTGCAGAGTTACAAGACAGTTGGGAAGTTTTCGCAGCCAAGATGTGAATTTGTCTGAATATCTCCATTAGATTGTTCTGCAGGCGCTTCTTCAGCATGAAAGAAGAGTATTAATGATATGATGCTCGGTGATTTAGAGCTGATGTAAGCTATAATATGATTTGTGACAGTGTTGGCAATCCTTGTGTTCTGGCGCATTCCAGCTTTTAATTCCAATATGTCCCTTATCATTAATAATTTCCCCATACTGTCAACAGAAAGTAATGGTGCACTTGCACAGGATTCTTATGAGAAATGCCTAGTTAGACATAATTTCTGCCTCAGCAGTCTGCAGGCTATTGCACAGTGTTTCTCTGTGCAACAAAGATAATGAAAAAAGAGGGTTTTAATGGGATGTTTTTGGATAGATTTAAATGAAAGTTCTTTTATTAACTACGGCTGTTGGTAAAATAAATGAAGCATCAGTCGTAAAAGGCCAAAAAGAGGAACAAATTCACAGTTTTCCTTACAGAAACGTAACTTTTGAAAGACAAAATAACACCATCTTGCTTTTACTAATGAAAATGTTTAATTCATAATCAGTAAAACACAATTTCAATTCAGTACTCTTTTACTGCTGCAGCCTCACTTGGTCTGGTATGACTATATCATATGTAGGCTAATGATAGCTAAAATTATTAGCAAACCTTAAAGATCATTAAGATATCCCTTATAATGCACTTTCAGTGGAAGTGATGAGGGACAAAAATCTGTATCTGTGTGCAGATGTATTTGAAAGTTTATCTGAAGCGTCTATGAGGCGTCATCAGTCTGAATGAGACAAATGAGTTGGGTATCTTCCAAAAGTAACACTGTTTATGTTTCCCTGGACAGTGGTTCCCTGCTTGGCTGCCATGGATGGATAGAAACTAAAAGAAGGAAATATCAACTTGATTTGTCTAACTCAGATTGCTGAAGCCTCATATCTTCAGATAAACTTTTGAATACATGTCGCACAGAAGGAGGACTGTGGAGTCAATGTGTTCCCCATTACTTACACTGAAAGCGCTTTTTTTAAAAGA